CTCACAAAATGTATTGTTTATGTGATAAAAAGGCAAAAACAAAAGTCTGAAACTGACAGAAAAGCTGCTCATTAGCATTACGTTTTAAAGAAGTTGTGATTAAAGCACACCAGCTTTAGTGTTTGATTTTATTAAAATTCTGATTTTGTCTGACAAAACCTTCAGTCTGTGTGAAACTCAAGGAACAATACATCTTTATGTAAAGGCTGGAACAGCACGGATCAACACAGGATCTCCACAAGTCACTGGAATAAACAGGAACCAGATCACAGCCATTAAGCTGACGATATCAATGGGCATCAGTTTCCAGTGTGAGTGGATCCTAAGCAGCAGTCTGCTGGTGGCATATTGGAAACAGGTGAGGTGGCTGGAACAGGAAGTGTGTTGGAACCATAGACTGTTTATATTGAAGACCAAGAGTTCTTCAAACTGAAGTCAGCAGGACTCAGTTGCCATGTTGTATTTAGAAACAAAGTGTGCGCACTATAGGTCCATTCGTTCATCCATCCACTTTTTTACCCACTTCTCATGTCCAAGTTGCAGGGAGCTGGTGCCTGTCTCCTGCAGTCACTGTGCAAGAGATGGGGGACACCCTGGACAAGTTGCAGGACCATCACTTGGACACACAAACAACCATTCAGTCTCTCACTCACACCTAGGGACACGTCAGAGTTACCTGTGAACCTAACATGCATGTTTTTGTTCTGTGGGAGGAAACCAGAATTTGATGGATTTTCTGAAACAATGGTGGAGTCAAGAAATAAGTCGATAATGCTGATTAAATGTTGGTTTGTGTTCTCTCTACTCCTGTCCGTTTAAACCATTTCCCCATGTTTCTGCCTTTCTTTTCTCCTTTGTTTTTCATCTCTGTGTTCATTACATCTGAAACAAACCCAAAGCAAATTCTAATAAAGTTTCATTTAAATATCAAGTGGCGTATTAAGGCCAGCTGTAATGCTCTGCTTGTGGAAGTAAATCTGTTGGGCCTCAACTTGACACTCAGACAACAATTCTGAGCGCCACAATGTCGGACAGGACAAGGCAAAAAAAAATTTTAATAAGTCAAATGTCTTTTGTGGCAATTTATTTATACTTATTGTATATCCTAGATTTTGATCTTCTTTTTCTAGATTTTGATTTTGACTTTGGCGACAAAAGGGTGTCAGCAAAGGTCGAAGGAAAAGTTTACAAGACAGTGGTGAGATCAGCTATGTTGTATGGTCTGGAGACAGAAACATGGACAAAAAGACAGGAGAAAGAAGTGGAAGTGGCAGAAATGAAGATGTTGAGGTTCTTCTTAGGAGTGACAAGGATGGATAAGATTAGGAATGAGATCATCAGAGGTACAGCACAGGTTGAACAACTGCAAGATAAAGTTAGAAAGGCCAGACTGAGAAGGTCTGGACATGTCCAGAGGAGGGACAGTGGGTACACTGGTAGAAGGATGTTCGAAAAGCAGCTGCCAGGAAAAAGACAAAGAGGAGATATATGGATGCAGTTAGAGAGGACATGGAGGTAGATGGAGTGAGGACAGAGTGAGATTGAGGAGGATGACTCACTGTGGCGACACCTGAAGAGGGAACAGCTGAAAGAAGAAGAAGACTTTAATTTTGATGCTGTAAGCAGGAGATCAAACAAAGCATGTGGTTGATGTAACCTTACGGCTCATGATTTATGCAGATTCAGACCACACGCCAATCAACCTCTCCAAGGCTCTCGTGATCAGAGCATGCACAAAACTGTGAGCCATTCAAGTGACGTGGGTCAGGGAGCCACTCCACCTGATTACCCAGAACAGAAGCCACAACAAAACATCGACTGATCCGGCAGTCATCACGCTAAAAACATTTTTATTTGCAAGTAGTCACGACGTCTTGGGATTTAAAGTATAAAATGTTCTTTGTAAACATTTTTATTCTCCTTTTTTCTTTGAAATCAATTATGTAGGCCTAATGTCATTTTTCATTTACGCAGTATCTGAAAGTGCACGGCGAGAACAAGTAAGCTCCACCCAGAAAGGCTCCAGGACGACCAGGAGGCAAACCTGTGACCTTCCTGCTGAGAGGCGGCAGCTCTAACCACTGCTCTGCCTTGCCATCCCGCATGCGCTTAGTTGTAACTTATCTGAAATCACAACAAATGACTCCTTCCTGTAAAGGATTTCCATTTAGAACAGATCAAATCCACAGCAGGAACTGATTTTTAAACTCGGTGTGGGGTTTTCAGGGTTTTCTCTTCCTTGTGTTCACACCTGTCCTCAATCCTAATCACCCCAGGTGTTTGTCTTTCTCCCTCATCAGTGTCTCTGCGTCCTTGCTTCTTGTCAATTGTCTGGGAATTGTCCGTAAAGGCTTTCATGTCCCGTCTCCCTCCGTGTCTCATCATCAACGTTTTGTTTCGTTTATTTAAGTAATCTTATTTTACTTTTACCTTTAGTTCCTTGTTGCCTTCCTGCAACACATTGGACCAAACAAACAATTCTCCAGTTTCCTCATATGAGCATGTTCACACACTCGCTGCACACACACCCTCCCACACTTTATCACACTGTGTTTGCACATGACTATTAGTTATGCACCAGGAATTAATAACATGGCCATGCATGGCATTTTGTTCATGATGGGGTTTTTCAGCGTCACAATGTGGGGGGAAAAAAAATCAGTTTTTGTTTTCAAAAAAAAAAAAACTTGGGATTTGTCATTGCTTCAGTGAATTTTACTGATCAGGATGTGTTAGTTGAAACAAATGAGAAAAGTCCAAAGTGTTTTATAATTCTCTTATATGTACAAGCTTGTGGCTACATAGCAAAAACTCTTGTTTTTCATTTTTACAGTTTTTATTGAAGATTATTCAATAAAGTAAGCATAATTTAAACAAAAACAAAATAAACAACTAATCATAAATTAAAATTTGTTTTTATTTTGACTTAAAAGCTGTCAGCATGTTGTGTACCATTCTTGCCCAACAAACAGCGTCTTATTTTGTCCATGTTTCCATATAATAATAAGGAAGGGGGCCCAAGAGGGGGCCCTGGAGACATCTCAAAGCAGCCATCCACAAAAATAAAACAACTTCAACAAAAAGCAGGATTTTAGTAAAGATACTTGAGGACCGCACTGCATTTATTTTTTTTTTTTACCAGTTTACATAACAGAGCACTTTTTGACTAAAATAGGTGTAAATAATTTTCTGTCATGTTTTTAAGATCAACAGTTGCTCACAAAAATATTGTGTTAAAACACTAAATATTGCGTTTTTGTCTTGGAGTTTCTAAATTACCTGTCCCAAATATTGGTTCACAAGTAGAGCTGTCATTTCTAACCTGAACCCGAAGCCCGGCCCAGCCCAACCTGGATCAGTCCCGGTCCATAATAATGTGCTTAATGTGCGGGCCAGGTCGGTGTTGGGCTTTTGACTGCGTCAGCAGACACGCATGGCTGACGATCCAATTATATGGCAACATGGCTTGCCATACCTTCACCAGCTGCATCCGACCATTTGACCACGCACTGACCAGCCTTGAAAGAGGTAAAAAGTTCAGTTAAGCTTCAGATGGACTACTGCCAGTGAGCAATCAGTCCAAATGGACGTTCATTCAGCCACTGCACTCAGTGGACATGCACGACCAACGACCCAAACAGGTGAGATCACAAAATGTCCGACATGTCAGAGCAGGGTCTGTGTCTGAATAATGCAGATTGCAGGCAGAAGCAGGGATTTAATGCGCTTTGACAGCTATGAAAGGACAAACACCCCCTCAGCTCCGATCTTCTGCCCCTTTACTCAGCCGCGTGCATCCTCTGACTGTTAATAACTACGTATATAAGCAGTCAATGCATAATAAAAAATGTCAGGGTTTTTCGGGTTTGGACCTGTAATTACTGTTAATTCGTCGGGTCAGCTGGGGTTTGGAAATTATGGCTATGGGCTGGGGCTGTCGGGTTGGATTTTTTGGGCCCGAATGCAACTCTAGTTCACAGGTACAATATTTAATATGATGAGAGTTTTGTATTTTTACGAAACATGGGAACTCCCTTAAACTTCAAACCAAAACAGCTTTCATGCCAGGGTTTTGAACTTTGATCGTTTTTTTTAGAGAAGTGCCAGAATCAGCCATTTTAGATTAATTTTGAAAATATAGTTATTAACAATCTCACGCAAATTCTTAAACAGTCTGTTAGTGCTCGGATGATGTGCTGTGGATGACTCTCAGCTACTACCACACCCAATTTAGCTCAATGTATGTGTGATGATGACAGTTATAGCCAAGTTTGTGTTTTTCTGGGGTCAATTAGCTATGATGAATACTTTGAGTTAGGTTAAGTTAAAAAGGTCAAATTATTAATTTGAGAGCTTCATTAAATTCCCACTGGTACAGGAAATATTTTGCTAACTGTCAGACACAATACACTCAGGCAAAAACATTATCGCTCCTGCTGAAAGGTAAAGGATGGACAATAAAAAACCTTGATTAAGAAAAAAAAAAAAGTCCTGATACATGCTCAATAATCCAAGTTGAAAACTCTTGCAGTCATCCATCCATGACCAGATTTAACTTAGTTAGATCTTAAAAAAAAACCTGGCGTGGTCTGTAAAGATGAACATGTTCATGGTGATCCACATCCTGAATGGACTGAAGATGCAGCTTGCAGGTTTACAAGGATTGTGTTGTGCTTCTGGGATTTAAAGAACAAGCAGAAAAGTTCACCTTTATTTGCTTTATTTAATAGTTAATATCAAAAACAACACACTGAGTTGCAAACATTGAGTCAGTAAATAAATGTCATTTCATCAGGATCATTCTTGTGTAAACATCACTTCTCATCATGACACTTCAGATGGAAACTCAAGGGTTTATAGGTCTCACCAGACACATTTAACTTCCAGTAATGACCCATTTTAACCTACTTTCCAGACTTGCTGCGTACGGCTCATCGACTCTGAGGCACTAGTTGGATTCTGTTATGGTATTTTCAAGCTGAATCTTCTCCATGGACACTTTAGGACTGCGGAGACTCTCGCACTTGCTGGTTCACATCCACCGAGTGCATCAGAGGAAAGTAGATGTCATCCATGTTTGGCAGCACGAACACTTTCTGAACAGGATTAAACAGGGAGCTGTATGAAAACAGCAGATTTTGTGGTCTCAAAGGAGGAAAAAGCATATTTAGGTGTATTTTTTCTTACCTGGAACTCATTCTGAAGTTTCTTCTCAATCCACTCAGTCACGTGGCAGAAAGTCACCTCCCTCTCCCCCAGCTTGGGACGCACATGCAGCTCCAGCTTGGGCGGCACACAAAAGCTGTACCTGCAAACCAAACTGAAATGTCAGGCTCACAGTGAGATTAGCTTCACGTCAGATCGGCCACGTTTCCTTTTCATGCTGTCGCAGAGCTCAAGAGAGGCTGGGTGAATAAGTAGCTGTTCTGCTGGCGAGAATCGACGTGTGAGAAGTGAGTCACACTTCATAATAAGATCCTGGGGGTTATTTTTTGCTGCAACAGGAGAAGTCAAAGCACACTATGTTTCATGTGATGTCACACAACATGATACAAAAATACATAAGATTAATTTGCTCATACATATGAGTCACAATAAAAAACTGTTTATCATCATGTTGGTTCCCCTAAGTCTGCCAATAAACCTCCAACATTTCAAAACCAATAAAGAGCTTTAATTATGCCCAGAAATACTGGGCGTTCAGTCGTGAAAAAGATGTGCACATTGGAGCACAGGCTGTAGATATGAAAACTTGACCCATCAAACCCATCTTTTAGTTTTCTGTTCAAAGAGTTGGAGCAGTCTGCTTCGTCTCTCTTTGAAGAAAGATAAAGGAGTCATTCTTAAAGGGAAATCTAGTTGTTTTGTACTGAGGTTCTGTAGAAAGGTTATGAACAGTTAACATCTTACCTGTTATAGATATCTGTGTGAATGGTTGGAGATATGATGAATGTTATTTGTTTTCTTTACTTAAAACTCTGCATTTAAATACCCCAAAATGCCTAAAAGGTTTCTAAACTAATGCTAGTTTATTTTGCTAAGATTACTTCACAGAAGTCTAACTTTGATTTCCACAAACTTAAAAAATGCTCACGTGTGTCCGGATCTGTGTTTTTTTAGTCACTTGTTAATTCTATGATTTTTTTTTCCCTCCTTGTGATTGTTTTGTTTTATTTCGATCCTAGAGTTTTCCCTGTCATCTCGCACTCCTCAATCAGTTTCTCATTCTCACCTGTTCCCAGTCTGTAATCAGTTCAGCTGTCTCCAACACCTCTTCATCCTCGCCCTGTATTGTCAGACTCCTGCCATCACCACTTTGTGGTTGTCATACCACAAGTCCTGCTCTCTTTATTCCTCACTGTGATTTTCCCTTCCAGGTTTCTTGTCAAATTCATGTGACCAGGGCTTAATTTGTAAACTGATTGATGCTGGATTAGCAGGCGGGCCGGGGTGGGGGTTCGGGGGCAGGGTCTGTGGGTTCTCCCACAGAACATTTTGAATAACAAAGATGCCATCTCCTGCATTCTGGTGTATTTTAATGGGTTGTTAAACATCTACATTTACTTACGTTTGTAAACGATTAAATTACTATTTTGGAGAACAACAGCAGGTTGTGTGTGAATAAAGCAACTCTGATTCTGTCAGGCATGGCCGGCCCAAAGTTGTAAGCAAACTAAGCGGCTGCTTAGGGCCCCGGGGCCACTAGGGGGCCCCCTAAGTGGAATTTTTATTTTTTATTTTATTGATTTCTATATGATTATATTACACACAATTTCATTATAAAGTTGTAAAAAAAATCTTGCATCATAAATTATTTTGAACATTACTTTTGCAGTTCTTTGGAACCAACGATAATAAACCAGATGACACTTTTGCTGTAAAATCCATTGCATACCGGTGTTTTTTTTGTTACCACTAGAATGATATGTACATATAAGATAATGTAAACAGGGCTGTCAGAGTTGTAATGAGTTCATGTTAGGTGGGGGAATGATCTGATCATCTGACTGTTGAATGCATTAATCCACATTATTAGCAGAAATAGAGGCCCCCAAACCAAAATTTTGCTTAGGGCCCCATGGAGGCTTGGGCCGGCACTGTTGTCAGGTGTCCTAACCCCCCCTCCCCTCATTTCACAGTTCTGAGGTGAACTTCGCTGAATTCAGTGCTGGTTGTTGCACCTGCTCCAATCTAAAAGTGGCACCTTGTGAAGCACCTGAAGACTTCAATTCTTGGTTGTCGGACAATCCATCCATCCATCCAACAATCCATCCATCCATCCATTTATTTTATGAAAGTAAATTGGACTGTCTTTTTGTCATTTTGATCGCTGTTATTTTGACAAATAAGCGTTGTTGTTTTGAAACGTGATGTAATGTGAATAACATCAAAATTCTCTTGTTGTGTTTTTAACTTATTGTTACAGTAATTTTTTAAAAATGTATTATGTCTGAAATACATGCAGGAGTTCAGACACATCAGCAGCTGTGAGTGCGCTGGGTAGAGCTGTCTGGAGAAGCTGGGTGAAGCTGACACCTTTGAGGTGGAGGGGTGTCAGCTTCACTCCGCTGTCTGGAGACGCTCCTGTTCGTAACGTGAACTGTCCGCAGGGCGCTCCGCTGAATGTGTTGGATGAAGACTCTTGAATCCTCACGGGACATGCAGTCCACGTCTCAAGACACTGAAGCTTTTCATCCATGAGCATAAAATAAATTTTCTTGTTTATTCTGTTGAACGGACCCCCCACCCAAGTGATCGGGGGTCTGAAAGAAGGGGAGAAGGGGTGTTTTTCAGTGCGCAGTGCCACTGAGGAGGAACAATATTTGGAGAGGAGGAGGAGAGAAGGACTCCACTGCAGCACCTCCATGCGTAAATGTGACCACCCTGTCACTCCGTCCTCACCCCCCCTGCCTCCTCTCCTGCTCCTCCCAGCCTGGGCAGCAGCATGTGAGCGAGCTGCTGCACGTGCTGCGGCTGGAACATCCAGTCCACAGACTGGACAACGTCTCCTCTCATTGTATTTTTAATAAATAATCAAAATAACAATGTTCAATGACTTTGGACTTTTAGGGGCAGAGATTTGAGTTGCTGGAACATACATGGTCAAAATGAGAGAGTTCCCGAATCTTGGTCCAGCAGGATCCAGCTCAAATTAACCCCTGCATGTGACGTTGCCACGGCTGCGCTTTTGTTTAATAAAATAAGATGTATTTTTTGAACTCCTCAAGTCAGTCTGCATTCTGGGTTGAATCTACTTGTGATTGTGATAACTTGTGTTGAACAAATCCCTCTTTTTAACAAGGTAAACAGCTATTTTTAAAAAATGTTAAAATCTTCAAAGATAAATTAAAAACATACTGGGTTATGTTAAGGGCAGCATGGTGGAGCAGTTGGTAGAGGGGTTACCTCTCAGCAAGAAGGTCAACAGTTCAAATCCTGGTCCAGGGACCTTTCTGGGTGGAGTTTGCATGTTCTCTCCGTGCATGCGTGGGTTTCATCCGGGTACTCCGGTTTTCTCCCACAGAACAAAAACATGCACGTTAGGCTGATTGGTAACTCTAAATTGTCTCTAGGTGTGAGTGAGAGAGTGCATGGTTGTTTGTCTCTATGTGGCCCTGTGATGGACATGCGAACCGTCCAGGGTGTACCCTGCCCCTCGCACAATGATTGCTGGACATGGGCACCGGCGACCCCGTGACCCAAAATGGAAGAAGCGGGTAAAAGATAATGGATGGATGGTTGGATGGATGGATGGATGGATATATGAATGTTCATATATCTTGGTAAATTTTCCTAAAATACTGAATATGATGTCACAATCTCATTAAAAAAAAGAATCAAATTTGCTCATACTAATATTAATGAGATGTTTATGCCTAACACCAACCATCCAACCTAACACGATCCCATTCAATCTTTAAATTGGCTGTTGAATAAGCATGGTTGGCTTACCTCACAGACTCAAATTGTTTCTAAACATAAGTGTTTTATTTACCTTTTTTTAATTTTAACATTTAAATCACTACAGAAGTGGTCCTGGTTTACTTCTTATTCTAGCCTCTATGTTGTTGTGCTGCATCTGAATCTCAGTTCGTACCATATCCTGTCTGTAGGTGGCGGTGGGATGTTCACAGCCAGAGTTCCTGCCAACTCCCGGACCTCCACGGTGAGCAGCAAGGGGGTGTTGGACATCTCCTCAAACTTCTTCTTGATGAACTCATTCTCTGTGGCCCTCTGGAAGTACTTGGATTTAGCGATTTTGTCCACCAATCTCAAAATCTTCTTTCCAGTCTTTCCTCCCCCAGTCCTGTAAAAGAGGATTAGAGAGGAGGGTGTTAGCATGATCCTTCATTTGGATCCAGATTTAGTGTTCAGACGCTGAAGTCAAAAGTTTGCAGAGAGTCGTGACTGCTGGGGAAATGAAATCAGGAGCCATCTGGAGCGTGATGACAGCGCTGTTTAGTTTTCTACTCTTGGAAAATGAGCATTCTTAAACCAAAAGAGCAGAAATAACACTGAAAAACGACTGACGGAACGACTTTGCCTGCATCTATTTCTATGTTTGTTAGCAAATGACAAGCTTTACTAAAACTCTTAGACAGTAATCATTGAATGTAAATCTACTTTACAACTAATGGTGTCAAGGCAGTACCACCTGCTTCGAAAAGTAATCAGCCCATTAAATGTCCGTTATTAGTTGTTATCATCCCCATAAGTGGCTGGTGAAGATTCTCAGTCATCCAGGACATGGTGAATTCAAAAACATTCAATACAAAAACAACTGGACTTTATTTGTAACAGAAGATGTTTCGCTCCTCATCCGAGGAGCTTTCTCAATTCAAAAAGCAGTGTAACCCCATAGGTTGCATTCAGACTGTCCCTCCTAGTAGGTTTAAAGGTACGTTCTTATCGCTGATAATAGGGTCAGGGGGTCAGGTTGAGGGTTAGTGCTCTGGGTCAGGTGTAAGGTTAGGTTTAGGAAAAGGTTTGAATAAAGCTAACAAAAAAATTCTTCTGGTTTTAGATGCTTGCGAAGCTGCACATTATCAGCGACAAGAACATGTCTTTAAACCTACTAGGGGGTACAGGAGGGACAGTCTGAACGCAACCTATGGGGATGATAACAACCAATAACGGCCATTTAATGGGATGATAACATTCGAAGCCGCTGGCAGTCCAGCCTTTAAAACACAAAAATAACTATAACGCAGTCAGTCTGACTGATTTTGGACTACAATTTTAGAGTGGTGGTAGCTGAGACTCATCCCAAACGCATCCTTTAAAAGCAGCTTGCTTGAAAATTTGACATTAACTGTTGGAGTCAGTACTGTTGGTGTGTTGACAAAATATCCCACGAACTACCAAACAGAACAGAACGTGGTAACTGGATGTGCGTCTACAACTGATCAACTTTTGTTTTTTTTATTATTATTTTTATTTCCTCAGCATTTACCCTTCAGTTGCTGCTGTGCCTTTCTCCCCAATCAAACCATGAGGCTCAGAGAGAAGCAGCTCTTCCTCATCAGAAGAAGCTGCACTGGAGGACTCTTCATCACTGTCTGCCAACACATCGAGGATGGGCTTGGAGCTGGAAACACACACACACCCCACACACACACAGACGAACAGACATAAGTCAGGAGTGAAAAGACTTTATCATCTATACTGACAGAAGCATGCATACTAGTGTGTATTAATATTTTTAATACTTTATGGATGCCGGATATTTTATGGTTGCTATAATTAGACTTTACTCAACCGACTCTTGAACAGGGAGCCTTAGGCACTTATAGGAGATAAAGTATATTGTTAATGTGTATAGAATGCACCTTAAAGAGGTTGTGGTCAAGTGTCGTGTGGGAATGGGATATAGAAAATGTTTTTTTTTTTTTTTTTATTAACAATGCCAATTTTACTGCAATTCTGACTATATGAGACTGGATAAAAAGAGAAAAGGCCATAGTGACGTTAACCATTGGTTTGGTTTGAAGCTTAGCGTATAGCCCCTTTGACACAACTGCTTGTGAGATAATGCTTAAAATATTATAACAATAATAAGATATATTAAAAAAAAAACTTTTCTTGATTTTGTAACACAAGAGAAGTCTGCTTTTCAGGTATTTTTGAATACAAAAAAAACACATGAAGGCTTTTTGGTTTTGGAGGGAAATTTCATCTCTAATTTAATGTTTTCTTTGTCACTAATTCAAATGCATTGAATAGGACTCCTACAATACTAGACTGGGCCACGGTAGCTTGGTGGTGAGTGATCCTGAGGCTGTAGGTTTGAGTCCAGGTTGTGGGTGTACAACAATTGTAGATTTGTTTGTGCAAGTTTGCTCATTGTAGCTACAGCTCAAGAAGGAAGCAGCGCACATGCTTTTACAATGCTGCAGTCTGTATTTTGTTTCCTTAGAGCATCATGTTTGAACCAAATCACGAGCATTTGAATGTATAAGTTTGTTTAAAAAAGAAAATCCCCTTTGGTGATCGTCTTTCTTTTAACCGTCAAATACGGCAGAACATGCAAACAGAAACAATATTTAGTATCAGAATGATTTAACCACTAAAATAATGCTATTTAACATGCCAAAAGTCAAAGTAGCCATGCTGTTTTTAATTATGACAGCATGAAAAGGAGTTACTGGGTAAGTTGTTTTATGTGCGTGTATGTGTGTAGCACTGACCGTGTACTACAACTGTCAGTCAAATGATGTATCATGTCTTGACTGCCCTCTTTCCCCAGTTTAGACAGGTTGAACTTGGTCTGCAGGGTCATCTGCAGGTTCCCGGTGTACACCAGCTGCAGATCCACCCACAGGCCTGAAGGTGACGTCACAAAAACATCAGCGTCAGACTGCCAAAATAAAGACAGCCCCCCCCCACACACACACACACACACACATACAGCCTATCTAGACGCACACAGCTTAGTGGGCAGATTAAACAGCTTTCACTGAGATGATTGGACCTTGAAATTAAATTTCTAACAAATTACCGTGGATTATTAGTCCCAGAGTTTGGGCAGGGAAAATGAGAAAAGCTGATAAACAGGATGATCTGTTGGAGTGAGGTTGTATAACAACAAAATGGGTTGAGAAAATCAAGAAAAAGGATAACAACAAGGTTGCACACTCACTGCAGGCTGCTAGATTCCCAAATTATGAAGACCACCCACCCACAAAAACAAAAAAAAGACTTACCTTTGTGGTTCACTTCTGGTCTGGAGGTGGCAATGATACGTGGCATAGAACATCCCATGTCCAACTCAGTCAGAGTGAGTTCATTCATAAAGTAAGGCAGCTGTGGAAAGTGTTGAATAATAAAGTTTAAAGTGGGATGCATCTTTAACCAACCTTTCTGTGAATCTGTACTTTTTTGTTAACAATGCTCTCACTTTGATTTTGCTGAGCTTCTTCTGAATCTTGTGGGACACAACATCGGACCAGCTCTTCTCTTGTAGAAAATCCCAGAAGATTCTCCCAATCAGAGCATTGACCCATGCAGTCTGGCTGCTCTCTGGGTACTTTATCTGCTCACAGGTACACTGGCAGACGAGGTAAAGAACGGTTTAGAGCATTGTAGAGCTGAAAAGTTGCATTTTAATTAAAGAACATTTGCTGTACCTTGTCCTGTTACAGTAAAGATTGACAGTTCACTGATTTTTTTTTTCTTCTTAACAATATTTCATTTCATCTGCAAACTTGACTTACGTGTCCTTTAATGGTAGGGCTCGTCTCTTCACTGCTAACTCCAGGACTGGAGAGGGGTGTTGCCTCTTCTGTGGCCAGGATTCGAGCCATGTAACTGGGATAGTCGAGCACAGAAAGTCCTCTGGTATTGTTGGAATGGGTTGTAGGGATGCAATGAGCTGGAGGTGTGGAGGGGGTGTCATCATCTGTGCTGCCCATTCTGCTGGGACCTCTGCTTCTTGGGACATGGATGCTCTTTGCAGGGTTCCCTTGAAAAATACAGACAATAAGCTGGTTAGCTGATTGTGTCATGATCTTTTACAAAACAGAGCTGCAAAATTATTTCCCTCTGTGTCCTTTGGAAGATTAGCTGGGGATTTTAAGACATCATCTGGTGAATATAGCAAAGTGCCATAAAAGTATTGTTTGCCCAGCAGGGAATCTAACCCAAATAGATCAAATAAAACAACACAAACAGAAAAACTGACTGATTACATAGATACATTTTTGTGGAGGAAAATGTTTTTGTACAAATTGCTGTTTTGAAGAGGTGGTAAAGATTCCTGACAGAAACTGCTTATCAGCAAAAAGATGGTTTGAGCAGGTAGTGCACAGTTAGCATTGCAATACAAACATGTTCAGTTGAGAAAACAGTGGTAAACTCAAACACCTGTCTCCAGCAAAAGTAATTGGGTATAAAAGTACACTGAACAAAAATATAAATGCAACACTTTTATTTTAGTGCCCATTTTTTCACGAGCTGAACTCAAAGATCTAAGACTTTTTCTGTGGACACAAAAGACCTTTTTCTGTCAAATATTGTTCACAATTTTGTGTAAATCTGTGTTAGTGAGCACTTCTCCTTTGCCCAAATAATCCATCCACCTCACAGGTGTGGCACATCAAGATGCTGATTAAACTGCATGGTTTTTGCACAAGTGTGCCTTAGGCTGACCACAATAAAAGGCCACTCAAAAACATGCAGTTTTATCACACAGCACAACGCCACAGATGTCACAATTTTTGAGGGAGCAGTAATTGGTGTGCTGACTGCAGGATTGTACACCAGAGCTGTTGCCCATGAATCGATTGTTCATTTTTCTACCATGAGTTGTCTCCAAAGGCGTTTCAGAGAATTTGGCAGTACATCCAACTGATCTTAGACCTGTAGACCACATGTGACCACACCAGCCCAGGACCTCCACATCCAGCATCTTCACCTCCAAGATTGTTTGAGACCAGCCATCCAGACAGCTGCTGCATAACCAAAACATGTTTGCATAAACTGTCAGAAACTGTCTCAGAGAAGCTCCTCTGCATGCTCATTGTCCTCATCAGGGTCTCCACCTGACTGCAGTTTGTCGTCGTAACAGACTTGAGTGGGCAAATGCTCACATATGATGGTGTATGGCACGTTGGAGAGGTCTTCATGGATGAATCCTGGTTTTCACTGTACAGGACAGATGGCAGACTGTGTGTATGGTGTCCTGTGGGTGAGCGGTTTGCTGACGTCAACGTTGTGAATCAAGTGGCTCATGGTGGCAGTGAGGTTATATTTTGGGCAGGCGTATGTTATGGACAGTGAACACAAGTGCAGTTTAATGATGGCATTTTGAATGTACAGAGATATGGAAACAAAATCCTGAGGTCCATTGTTGTGCAATTTAGCCACGACTATCACCTCATGTCGCAGCATGAGAATGAATGGCCCCATGTTGCAAGGATCTGGGCAAAAGCCCTGAAAGCTGAAAACATCCCAGTTCATGGACAGCAGTACTCACTGGACCCATTGAGTGTGTTTGGGATGCTCTGGATTGATGCATACAAGAGCATGGTCCGATTTATTTATTTATATAGTGCCAAGTCCCAACAAAAGTTGTCGCAGGGCAATGTACATAAATGTTCACATACATAAAAAAGCCACTTAGGAAAAGTTATCTGTAAGGAAGCCAACAGATTGAGTTGAATCTTCACTTTGTTGCAGTCTCCCACTTCTTGACAGACGTTAGTTTCTAACAACATCCAACAACTTTGCACAGCCTTTAAAGAGGAGTGGACCAACATTCCACAAGCCACAGTCAACAACGTGATCAACTCTATGAAGGAGACGTGTTGCACTCGGCAAGGCAAATGGTAGTCACACCAGGTACTGTCTCCCCTGGACCCCTCAATACAGTAAAACTGCACATTTTAGAGTGGCCTTTTATTGTGGTCAGCCTAAGGCACACCTGTGCTACAATCATGCTGTCTAATCAGCATCTTGATGTGCCACACCTGTGAGGTGGATGGATTATCTCAGCAAAGGAGAAGTTCTCACTAATGCAGATTTGCACAAATGTATTAATAATATTTGACAGAAAAGGGCCTATTGTGTACTTTGTACTTTTGAGTACTATTGAGTCTGTGTGAAGGTTTGGTTCGTGCTTCGAGCACTTAAAATCAGCTGACTTACGAGCTAAAACATAAGATGGAAGCTATTTGTGAGAATCGCAGGCCACCTGCGGCTTCTGGGACTCGTCAGCATGTTGGGGACAACCTTGGAGGGGGTGCATAAGCACGGACTAGTGGAATGTTCACAAATGTGGTCATTTTGGATCGAAAGTACCAGCAGGACTCAAGGCAGACGAGAAAAAACAGTCTGCCTGAAAAAAATTATGGCTTATCTGAATCTGACTCCCTCGTTTGGCCTCGATGCAGGCCAACATCAAATTTTTCCTGGGAAATGTGTAAGCTAAAGAAAAGCTCTGTCTATCGAACCAGACAGAGATGTCTCACATTATTGACTTTACACATTTAACCTAGCTGTTTTCTCAAATAAATCATTTTTTTTCATAGTCAGCTTTAAACTCGAAGGACATACACAGACATGATTGATATCAGTGCTGTTATAAAAACAATGTCCTTCAAAAATAAAACTAAACACGTTTATACGTTGCTTTACCAAACCACGCAATAGACTAGATGTCAACTTATAAATAACTCTGTCAGCCATAAAAAAGTAACTGTAACTGATAACACTGAAAACAGATTTGATTTAGAAACTATGTTGAACTAAGTTTATTCTTTAAGCTCAATAATATTTCTGAAACAAAGCTTGTCTGATTTTTTATTCCCTTGATGGAGAATGGCTTTAAAAGTCTGAGTATATAATCCTTAATCTACCCACATATGTTGTATTTGTAGAGATATTTGTTTTTCTAGTTGACTGCATTAATAATATTTCTCATACCCAGTCGGGACACACATCTGCCATGTCTCTGTCTATCCTTCTCCAGTTCCACCTCTGCATCCATGGATGCCAGCAGAAGATGATGAAACCACTCTTCTTTTTCTCTCCCCGTGCGGCCGAAGAGGTAAAGTATGGTTGGAGGGTTGTGGCTCTGTGCTGGTTCAGCTCCCAGCTCATCCTCAAGGTTCTCCAAACCACCTCTTTCCCCCTCCTGAAGTTCGAGCTCTGCAGCCAGCTGGACGCAGATGGGATACTTTGGGTTCCACACCCTTTTCCGAGCCAACACCAGTGGCAGCAGAAACACCTTTAAGAGACAAAGGCAGATTTTAGATGTGTTGAGGGAAATAAATAAATGGGCCTTGCTAAGTATCCATCACTTCTAAAATGTTCTTCTTCACCTTTGGTGTTTTTGTGTGAGCTTGAACTTTGAGGCACTGTGCTAAAATGTCACCGTAAATGTCGCCTCAAGGTGCATCAATTATTCAAACCTGCATGCATCCATTCATCCGACACGTTTACACTGATGCTGCACACTCTTCTGATTTTTGACAGACTTGTAACTTTTCTGCTCATGCTGACATTTGTAAAGACGACTAAAACATCAAGTGGACCCACAAATGATAACAAAGCATTCACAAAGAGGGAAAATGCTAGCGGTGCAACGTGTCTTCAGTTTTCCCTGTGAGTCCCAGAACAAAGACGTTCATGAGAGAGTGTTCCTACTTTGCTTTTTGCGAGCTGAAAACAGCATGACTTGACGAAGGTGGCTTCGTGGGCCCTCTCTTCATATGTGGCCCTGCGGCTGATATTAGTGCGTGGGTAGTCCAGACGGAGGCAGGACCCCTCAAGGGTCGCAAAGACGGTGTGAGTCAGAGCCGGATGGCAGGTTTCTGGGTCATAATCATGGATCTCATTCATCCAAGCCTGAAAAAAAAACCAAGCTGAACAGTGAGTGTTAATTTGAATATACTCCAGAGATAACATCTACACGCCATCTGAAATAAATGCAGCTTTGAAAGGCATGTGATAACGTTTGTAATCTGGATAAACGAGAGGAAAAAGGTAGGGAAAGTGGATACATTTTTTTCGTCTATTCAGAGGTTTTTTTGTTGAATTTCAAACAATCTAGTATGATCTTTTCAATGTTGTTAATTTATGTCGATTTATTTTTGTGAATGAGGCCTATTACAGCTTTGGACTTGTGAATGTATGCCTACATCTGTATACATGATGGTTTCTCTTCTAAAAAATGCATATAAAGAGAACATTGTGGGGTTTTTTCATTCAACCTTTATTTATAGAGGTTAGTCTTATTGAGCCTCAATGACTCATTTACAAGAGAGACCTGTAAACCTGTAGACCTTTCCAGAGCTTCATAGTATAAAATTATTGTCCAGATCTTGGACAGTCTTACTCTGGAGCCCTTTTAACCACCTTGAGTAAAGTCCTGTAAAAAGTGAACCAAAGTCCTAAAAACATACTAGAGTCAAATGAAGCTTATTAATTAATTAAGGAAACCCGATTGCTAGAGAACGGGAGTTTCTGGATTTTAATACACAGGTTTATACACAACATTTAAGGGTGTCCTGATAAAGTTCTATTTTTTTCAAACAAAGTAAAAGTACTTCAGTTTGGGTTCTTGCTGATATTGAAAACCAATACTGAGTAGTGAGTTAGCACCTAAGCATTATACATTGACTTTAGAAACACATGTCTTTCAATAAGAACACAGAAAACAGTCTGCTGTCTTAACATCACTTGTGTTTATCTTAAAAATATCTCCAAACGACAAACATTTTTTCAATTCTCTGTCTTCAGTTACTGAAGTGGAAGAGAAAATGACATCAAGTGCAAAATTGGTACTGGTTCAAAGTATCCAGTGAGGTTGATATCCAGTAATTTCTGACAAAATATGAACTTATATTCCCCTCAAACAATTTCATCCCAACTTATCTAACTTTTAATGGGTTGTTCAATCACTCAATCATCCCATGCTGCGTCTTCTTTCAGGGCCTCGGACGTATCCATCCTTTCTTGTTAACAGATTTGTTTTTTGTTTGACCCACAGACTGTGAAATTGTTTTAAAACAAATTAGGATAGAGGGTGAAACTTCTTTCCACTGACCATTATTGGATTTTGCACCTGGATCATTGAGCATGAACTTTGATGGCTTGAACCACTTTGGCTGTGGCTGCCTGCCTGGGAGGAGTCGACAGGGGACAGGATAGCCCCCAGAAACCATCTCATCACCAGCAAACTGGTTGGTCAACTAAAGGAGTGTACTGCTTGTGGGAAAACAGTTTGTTTGTGACTCCTGTAGCATATTTATAAGAAAACTATGCTGCAATATATCAATGTAAAT